TCAATCGTCGTTGTTCTCAGAAATGTGAAATTGTGTCACATCCAATCTTTGTAAATTAAAATAAACAAAAATTGTAAATAAAAATTTTTCAAATGAAGAAAAGCGTGTAGGATTATTGGTTCAACTTTTCTTGGCCATACAGGATACGTTGACCGGTGAAAGTTACTTACGTTTTTTAGAGTACGGTTTTCAATGGTGTTCAAATTTTGTTGTGATTTATAACTTATAAAAAGAAAAAAATATGTTATTAAACGGCTCTTTATAATTTAGATTACACAAACTAAAACTCAAAAAATAATATCACTACGTACACTTTAAGTTATTTTAGAAAATGTTCAAAAAATCCGCAATTATTTTGAGTACATAAATGCATCTTTTTAAAACTGAATTTCTAGCTGTTGTCACAGAACGACCGGTCGCCTTAATTAAACTTCTCCTGTTCCGCCTCTTCGAGTGCCTCTCTTAATTCATAAGTTTTTTTGTAAACCTTGTTGTTAACCATACCGCATAAAAAAATCTAAAATTGATAGGTCAGGTGACCGAGGAGATCCATGCAATTGGTCCACCTCCCTGAGTCTACATAATTATGATATAAATAATTTTTTAAATAACATTTCTTTCATTGTAGGGGGGAGTATCTAAATTTAACTTTTCTAACATGTCTTGAAAACCGTTTTCTAAAAAACGTAACGTTCACCGGTCAACATATCCTCGAAACTGTATGGTCAAGAAAAGTTGAACCAATAATTCTACACGCTGTTCTTCATTTAAAAAACTCAATTTACAAAGATTGGATGTGACAATTTCACATTTCTGAGAGCAACGACGATTGAACTTGTTTTCTTGGCTAACTAAGTGAAATTAGTCAAGAAAGATAAGAATTGGTTATAACTCAGTAATTTTGTGAAAGAACCATATTATAGCTTATATCGTTGAATAGCTTAAAAAACGGCGCTTTTTATGAAGTCATGGCCAACTATGGTTTCCATTTAAAAAAAAATATGTTTGTGTCATATGTCAAAAATGACAGGCTTTAGAAAAAATCAGAGAACACAATCTCATTAGGGATGTGATTATCTACAACTTTTATCTGAAATTTTTTTGTCTAAAATAGATTATAATGGAATTAGGGACAATTTCTAAAATAGCCAAAATTTGTTTTTTTCGAAATATCTAGTAAGCCATGAACTTTTTCGAAAATCCGAAAAGCGCATATTTATGATCCCACAAAACTGCAATTCTTTCCCCATTTAACTGACTCTCTATCTCCAGTAGTTTCCGAGATACCCATAGAGAACATCGTAAAAAACTCACCCTGTATAATATGCTTTTTAGGACTAAAATATGTAACACTTATAGCAACTGTCACACTCAAAATTTCATTCAAATCTCTAAAAGCACTTGGAAGAAAATTATAATAAATCGAAAAAAAAAATTTCCTGACACATGTTTTTTAAAACAACCTGTATGCATATTTCAAAAACAAGTATACGTATGTAAAATCAATACGATTGGCGCATTCAATTGTTTTGGTCACTTCTGTTTCACCGGAAATGACTACAACTTTTGATATTTATTCGATAGAAAATGACATTTTGACTAGAATGACATATAGTTCATAAAAAAATCGTATTTTTCTATCTAGAGTGCCATGGCTGTATTAAAAACACTGATTTTTAATCAAGGAGCCTTGGAAAAATAGATTTGATCGTCTAATGTTTTTCGTGTCTCGTCCTGGCCGGTTAAAAGATGCCCAAATCTTATTTTTAATTTTTTCAATTGGAGCAAGGGTGGCTCATTAGCATATTTGGAAAAAAATATGAATAATTTCGTACCGATAATTTGGTATTTCGAGACAAATTGTCGTTATGAACCGCATGTTACAATTTCAAATAAACCATATGTGAAAATGTCAAAAGTTGACATACGATATGTCATTCTAATCAGAGTGTCATTTTCTATCGAATAAAGTAAAAAAAATACCGAGGGTGTCTGTAAAAATCAAAGGTTTAGTAATTTATGGTGAAACGGGAAATGAACAAAACTAATTGAATGCGTCAGTCAATCGTAATTTATGTCATATACTAGCATACCAAATCTCGTTTTTTTTATCTAAAGAACTAGAAAAGTTATAAGGGTGAGCCACTTTTGAGACGCACCCGGTAGATTATGACATGATAAAATTGGAATTTTATGGTAGGTACCTAAATCTATTGTGGAAATAAATTATGCTGCATTTCATTTAAAAACTACAACTCTAGGGTAAATATATATTTGAATTGCCCTATACATATGCTACAAATTCGAGGTACGAGCATTGGTATCTCGGTAACCGTAATAGATACGAACATCATACGAACATCGATTTTATTTTTTCCTCTCGTTACTTTTTAGACTTAGATTTACCAGTGTGCTTACTGCTTTAAGCTGTACGCACACTGGTGCGATCACGGCCGCAATCACGATCTCCACAAAAGTTGCTGAAGAATACATATGCGCCGTTTCACATTGACGTGATCGAGTTTTGGAGACAAAGCGGCCTGGCAGCGTTCTATT